AAAATGGTCAGTTTCTTAGCCAAAGTGAACAAAACCTCATTGTGGAAACAGCCTGTGACACAGTATCAGTGAGTTCTTCTCTCCACTTTTATCCAGTTCTCCAGCTCTATGAAGAAGCCCTTTTGTTTCTTTTATTTAGATGTTACTATGCAATACTACTTATTTATTTATTTTTTCCATTTGTATCCCACCCTCCCCGCGAACAGGCTCAGGGCGGCTTACAGTAACCGGTACAAGGTACCATAAAATCCACATAAAAACATTTTAAACATTTTTAAAAATTCAGGTAATCATCAAGTGCTAGCAGTACTAAACATTCCATCACTAATTGAGATGGCTTGCTATATGATGTAACAGCAGACCATTTCAGACTAAGTAATCTGGCGTCACACGATGGTATGGCTCAGTCTCAAAGCTGGGGCCGGCCCATAACCACAGATGTTGGTGGTAGTGGTGAGGTTACTTGGGTTACTTGGATGTAAAGGGTCAAGTTTGGCTTGCCTATGTTGTAATTTATCCTCAGCCCAAAAAGTATTCATTTAGCATCAACCCAAGCCAGAGCCTTTTCAACTCTGGCCCCAGCCTGATGGAATGCTCTTCCAGACAAGGGCCTGCAAGACAGAAATGTTTTGCCAGGCCCACAGTTGAGGCAATGAGGTTTCCATCTGAGCTGGCCTCCCCAGTCCTTTTCGCCGCCATCTATCCTGTCAATTGCACCAGTTTATTATCCATCAACACATAGGCTATACAACTTTGCTCTGGACAAGTTACACTACCTTGTGCCTGTATATGCCACCTGATTTGATTTTTTTAATTTACTGTTGTGATAATTGTTTTTAATAACTAATTTATAGTATTTTTTAACATTGGTGTTACCTGCCCTGAGCCCTGCTGTGCAGGGGAGGGCAGGCTATAAGTAGAATATAATAAATAATAAATAAATAAATTATATCCCTCTATCGTGTACTCCCAGCAACTTAATCTGCCACTTTTAGTATTTCTCTGGCACATTTCAGAAATGAGCTTGTTAATAGTTGAAACTGATCCCTTCCAGATATATTGTGTTAAATGCCTCCCCAGTCTCTGTAATTCCATTTCTATGTTGTGCTGTTGACTGTTGATTGTAAACAGGTTCTGAAATAATTACATTATGTGAGCTATGAATACATATGCACCATTAATAGACCGCATCTGTTTACAGCAGAGTTGAAACTTTGTCTGACAACCCTTGAGGTCCTGTACAGGAAACCTAATATAATTCATCTTCCTCCTTCTCCTTAGATTGGTAATCTGATTTCACTTGTTTCTTCTTCTCTTTAATCCTCTTTAGACCTATAGGTTCTTCATCTTGTTCTCTCTCTAGGGCTGCTCATTAAATTCTGAATAATTGCATATTGAGGCAGAAATGATCTTGCTGAAATTTATGCTGCGTGCATAATATTAGATCTTTGCATTCCACATTAATGATTCTGGGAGTAATTCTTTATTCAAATCTTCAGTGTGAGCAAGTGCAAAGTAATGCACATTGGAGCCAAAAATTCTAACTATAAATATATATTGATGGGGTCCGAACTGGCAGTAACTGACCAGGAGAGGGACCTTGGAGTCATGATTAGATAACTCACTGAAGATGTCAACTCAGTGTGTGACTGCAATAAAAAAGGCAAATACTATGCTGGGGATTATGAGGAAGGGGATTGAAAACAAATCAGCCAGTATCATAATGCCCCTGTATAAATCGATGGTGTGGCCTCATTTGGAATACTGTGTACAGTGCTGGTCACCACACCTCAAAAATGATATAGCATTGGAAAAGGTGCAGAAAAGGGCAACTAAAATTATTGAGGGGATGGAACACCTTTCCTATGAAGAAAGGTTAAAGCGCTTGGGGCTCTTTAGCTTGGAGAAATGACAATTGAGGGGTGACATGATAGAGGTTTACAAAATTATGCATGAGATAGAGAAGGTAGAGAAAGAAGAACTTGTGGGCACTCAATGAAATTAATGAGCAGTAGGCTTAGAACAGAACAGCCAATTATCCAAGCACAAACCATGCACAGATTTATATCGGTGCACTAATACAGTCATGCTAGGTGCTCCTGTGTATGTTTATCACTTATTCTGAGACCTTGCATGTGTCACATAATAATAGGTCCATAACACCAGTGTTTGGGTTGTAGAAATGTTATTTATTTATTCCTCTAATTTGTACCCCACCCTCCCCACCAAGGCAGGCTCAGGGCGGCTAACAGACAATATGTTAAAACAGTTAAAACACCATATTTAAATAAAATCACAAACAATACAGAATAAAACATATCATAAAGTGCTAGTATAATTCATAGCTGATGGCGGCGTTCACAGCATCCATGTGCTCAACTACCACTGTAGTCTGGGTTTTGTCAGGCTATTGATCATATTTTGAGTTGGTGTTAGTATTGGGGCCAGGGCCTGGTTGTTGAAAGGGCAGCACCGTAATCGAAAGCCTGGTGGAAGAGCTCTGTTTTACAGGCCCTGTGGAATTGTAAAAAGTCCCACAGGGCCCTGATGTAATCCGGGAGCTCGTTCCACCAGGTCGGGGCTGCCACTGAGAAGGCCCTGGCCCTCGTCACAGCTAGCCTGACTTCTTTTGGGCCTGGAAGAGCCAGACGGTTTTGGGACCCCAATCTTAGTGCCCTCTGGGGAACATGTGGGGAAAGGTGGTCCCGTAGGTAGATAGGTCCCTGACCATATAAGGCTTTAAAGGTAAGAACCAGCACCTTGAACCAAATTCGGTATGCTATAGGCACCCAGTGCAATGCTTTTAGCGCAGGCTGGATGTGCTCCCGCATAGGGAGACACAACAAGAGCCTGGCCGCCACGTTCTGCACCAGCTGCAGCTTCCAGATTTGGGACAAGGGCAGCCCCATGTAGAGAGCATTACAGTTGCCAGATCATTGCATTCAAGGAAGGGAACTAACTCCCTAATCAGCCGCAGGCTGACTTCACAATGGGCCTCCATCGGTAAGGTGGCATCCAGGAGCACTCCCAAGCTTCTAACCTCCATCGCTGGCACCAACAGTGCCCCATCAAAGGTCAGGAGTGGAATCCCTAACCTTGGACTGCTCCAACTCAGACACAGGACTTCCGTCTTCGTCGGATTCAATTTCAGTTGACTCAGTCTAAGCCAACCAGCCACAGCTTTCAACACCAGGTCCATATCTTCCGGACTAGAGTCTGACTGGCTGTCCAACAACAGATAGAGCTGGGTGTCATCCGCATATTGGTGACAACCCAGTCCATGACTCCAAGCTATCTGGGCAAGGGGGTGCATGCAGATGTTAAATAACATTGGGGAAAGCACCGCTCCTTGGGGCACTCCACAAACCAGCGGGTGCCTTCCGAATAGCTGTTCCCCAATGGCCACCCTTTGTCCCCGGCCCTGGAGAAACAAGGAGAGCCACTGCAAGGCAAACCCCTGAATCCCAGTGTCGGTGAGGCTGTGCATCAGTAGTTGATGGTTGAACGCTGCCGACAGGTCTAACAACAACAACACTGCCGAACCAGCCCAATCCAGATGCCTCCGGAGATCGTCTGTGAGAGCGACCAGGACCATCTCTGTTCCATGGCCTGGTTGGAAACCCGACTGGAAGGGGTCTAATGCGGAGGTGTCAGAAATGTTATAGATTACTGATACTGGACATGTTGATTAATAATACTCTGCTCCATATTTTCAGTTACATAAATAGACTTTCTTATACTGATTCTTTATTGATCACTTGCTCTGCATGTTGATGGGGTTTGGCTCTTTAATTAAAGAAGGTTGCTCAACCCTGTCTTAAAGCTTCATATAGCACGGAACGTAAGCAGATTCTTCCTGCAGTACCTCTGCAGGCAAGGGGGATACTGATACTGGCTTCTAGTATCCCTCAACTTATTCTCATTAACACAACAACCCTAGAATTGTAGGCAGATTAAAATATTCTGGAAATTCATGCTTTTAATGTAATATTTGTAGGCTGTAAATGAATCAGAGTGCAGAGGTTAGTTGTACGCTATAGCTAGGTAGAAGGCCAGTTCTGTCCTCCTTTGCCCAGGGTTGTACTTCTAGCTTATTGGTTTAGTTATATCATTCTGTCATTTTGCCTCATTGGATCAATAGTCCAGCATTTCTACAAAGTTGGAGCAAGAGAAAACAGCCTGAATATTCAGAGACCGCATACACAAGTTTACTGCATAGAGGATATGAATGTGAGCTCTCAGTTTTAAACCATTGCTCATGGGAGCTAGCCTGACATAGGAGAAGGAAAACTGAGAAATGTGATTTGGATTCAAAAATACATAAGTATAGAGACATATAGCAATAAAAAGGGCATGTGATTAAAATATGTGAAGAGTTAAACATTATGGGCTGGCATAGTTAGACTTCTAATGTTTCTAAGTTAATTAATTTTTCTTTGAAATTGTATTGGCAGTCTAGTACTAATATGAGTAAAAGAATAGTCCTAGCTCTTTTAATGGACGGATATTTCGTAGTTTGATACTGTCTAGGTAGTTATTTATCAAAAACATACTTTAAAGTGTTAACACATGTGTTGCTTTTGCACAGCAGGAACTCATCCACATAGATCTCTCGAAACATGCTTATTTTTCATTATTGAATCATTTTGTTCCATCCTGTTCAGGGGTCTAAAGCAGATGCTTATCTTTGTTGATTCTTATTCTGATGTAGTGTGGATAAATAACAGTTTCAGTGGAAGTAAATTTTCTTGTGTTTTTCTTTGCTCCATCATTGATACATGTACCAGAAACCTTTTTTTGCTTTACTAAGTTTAAGTGAACAGGAACCGGAAGAACTGTGGGTTGAAACCAGAGATGTTATCAAGGAAGAATGTGCAAAGACTATTCCTGTAGCCAAAAAGAAATAAAAAAACTTGACGGATGACTGATGAAATTCTTAAAATAACTAAAGATAGATGACAAACAATAGTAAAAGGAAGGCAAGTCACCATGTGGTCAAAATGCCTGTCACAGACCCCACGCTCAATATTCCTAATGATCACCCACTAGCAGATACTCCTCAGTACGAGAGGATATTGGTCCATTGCCCAAAGAAGGATATCTCGTTCAAAGAATGGGACTGTTCTGGTAAGTCCTTGAGGGTCTCTTCCCCAAACCTTTCTCCCTGCTTCAGCCTTTCCAAGCTTGCAACCCCAGCCTTAAGGAAACAAACCTTCTCCCTGAGAGCCACGAGCTCCATGCATTGAGCACACACCCACGATTTCCTCCCGGTGGATAGATAATTTTACATGTAGGACTCTCTGCTAAACACTGGATATCCCATGCTTCCCTGTTGGATTTCTATCTTCATAACTGGTTAGTGGTTTAATAGTATCTAGAGTGATGCATGGTCCTCAGGGCTGATCCCCAGGCTAAGAGCCACAGGCCAAGAGCCCTTTGACTCTTGCCCTTTGACTCGCGCCATTGCCTAGGAGAAGCCTTACAGCTTAGAGGCCCACAGCCCCTGCCTCCCAGCAGCACTAGCAGAGGGTGGGGCCTACAATCAGCCTCAGGCAAACAGACCTTGCTGAATGAGCAACAGACCAGAAAAAAGACCCAAACAAACCCAGACAAAAACACCACTGTCCAGAATGCTACAAGCACCCACTCACCCTCAAACTCTATTCTTTCACAAAGCAACCTCAGTTAATGCTCCCCAGTAGCGTAGCAGTTTAGGAAAGGCCAAAAAAACCCCACTTGATATGTAATTTTAAATTACATATTTTGGACGTCTTAACTAAATACATCCACTACTAACCTTTGTCCTTTTTGTTTAATTTTCTCTGATATAATCTGATTATTCCAACCAGTTCATACCATACATAATTTATTGGTTGAATCAGTATCTGCCTGGTTTCACTTGTTGCAGTTAAGAATCTCATGATTAGTGCTAAAATGTCACAGAAAGTTAAATCTGCTTATTTTGGGGCAACTGTGAACACAGGGTCTATACTGGAGCTGTTGCTAAATTTCTTTTTTCACAGTTGGAAAATTCTGCCACAGAAATGACAGACTTTTCTTTCTATCAGCTGTGAGTTACAGGTTCAAAAACCAGTACAGGAAGGAGCCTTAGCACCTATATGTTGTTCTGGCTTTATCTATAAACAAATTCACCAGATAGTCAGCATGAAAAGTGTTCTACTAACAATTAATTGATGGACTTCTACTGATTCTTATTAATTGATGAACTTCTACTGAAATAAAATGCATGTTCCTTTTAAAGTAATATTGTTATGGTCAGCAACATAGTTCCCTTTAAGCTGCACTAGGGGGCGCTGGCGCACAACATTTTAACAGGCAGCTCTGGGAATTTCTGCTTCAGCCCAGAGATACTGCTTCAACTCATTGGAAAGAATGGAGGATGGGGGCACCTCTTTCTGGGACCCATAGAATTGGACTCCCGTGTCCAATTGTTTTTAAACTTGGGGAAGCTTTTGAGGAAAGGAACCAGCAGCTATTCTGAAAATGTGGTGACTCTACCTCAAAAACAGCCCTCCCGATCCCCAGATACCCCCAGATTGATTCAACATTATAGTCTGAGGGGCCCATTGACTATAATGGTCCCCATAGTCCAATGGAGCTGGGAGGGGGAGATTTTTTTGCACACCCCTATTATGCTTTTCAGTATGATTTGTAAGCTGCCTTGACTCACAGGGAAAAGTGGGATATAAATATTTGAATAAATAAGTAGTTTGGGCAGCTTAATAACATTTAAGCAACTTCCTGTTTTTAGGTTAGGCAGGATTCTGACAGTGATTGTTCTGAAGATTTGAGCAGTGACTCATGAAAGTTCATACCCTGTCACATATTTTGTTAGTATTTAAGGTGCTACTGAACTCCTGCTCTTTTTTACTGTTCCCCTCTGTTATGCTTGATCTGTAATGCTGGTTGTCATATTTCACTAAAAAAAAAGGTAGACTGCAAGAGTTCCCCACCCCCAGTGCTGGTATGTTTTCTAAGGTTCAGCACAGGGTGACTGTCTGAGGCCAGGTCTCCCAGTATAGTGGACTAGGGCAGGTAGACCTGTTCTCCAGAGGCCAGGTCTACCAATATAGTGGAAAGGGGCAGGTAGACCTGTTCTCTGGAGGCCAGGTCTACCAATATATTTGACTGGGGTGGGTAGACCTGTTCTCCGGAGGACAAGTCTAACAATATAGTAGAAAGGAGTGGATGAGATTTGACTTGATTCTGTTTTCTCTTATAATGTTTAAATTATTCTTTAAAATGTAGTTTAAATATAATTTAAAAGAATTTATGGTGAGACTTTTACAAGGTTATGGAAGTAATCTTTTAAAAAATTCATTTACACAATAGTCAAATGTAGACTCACTCACAACTTTAATGCTACTAGCTTTTTTTGCTGATGAGGTAGAATTTCTGCTCACAACACTGTGGAGCTTAGACGGAACCTTGGAGTGCTAGTCAAGGGCGGGGGGGGGGGGGAACGACGACACTGTGAATAGTTGCAGATAGCTGGGAAGACCAGACCAGAGTAATATGACACCTAAAATAGTTCCTAAGGACATCAGGGACTGAGAAGCTGCAAATAAACCCTTCTGTCCCCAGTCAAACTTGAGGACTGTCAGTCCTCTTCTGCTCAAGTGAGGCAGCATGGTATTTGAAAGGACAGTGATGTGGCTTCACGCTTTGTTCTGTGGCACTGCTGAATGACTTTAAGTTGTATTATATATAGGGCTCCCAACTCCCCTGGTAGGGCGGAAATCCCCCGCCCCAGAGGCTCCGTTCCCCGACGCCGGGGAATCGGGGCCCGGGGAAAACCCCTCCCCGGCGTGCGCGTCACTGGAAGTGGGGGCGGGGCCACGCCATTTGAGGGGAAAACAAAGCTCTTTGTTTCCCCTTCAAATGGCGTGGCCCCGCCCAGCGTGTGACGTCACTTCCGGTGACGCTCCGGCGGCGTGCGTGTGCGCACATTCCCAACCAGCTCCCGGAGCAGCAGGACGCTCCCCCGCCGGTAGGATTTTTAGATTTGGCAACCCTAATTATATACCTTTTCTAATGAGGTTTTCTAGGAAAGTGGAACAGACTTGGACAGTTGGTGGGGTTGCTTCAGACTGAAATGTTGTATGTTGTTACTTCTGGGGAAACAGGAACTCTTCCTCCTCCTGAGGAAGGTTTGTGGGAGGTTCCCTGTTGAGTTGGAGTCTGCTGAGAGTTGGAGTCTGCTGTGAGACACCCCCCCCCCCCCGCGGGGTTCCCCCCCCGGCAGGTTATCCTCACAGTTATTATTTCTACTTGCTTTTGAGATACGTTAACATGAATAGATCAATAGGAATTGTTATTTCTGTTTCCTGTTGGACTCTGCTTTTCTCTTACTGTTTGCTTGCACAGGAAAATAATATTAAGTTTTAGGGCTGCATGCTTTTAATTGACAGATTGATCAGCTAAAGATTTAGTCGATTCACTTAGTTGATTAATTAAACCAAAGCTTTGTTTGGTTGATAGCTTGAGTCCAATTTTAATCAATCCACATGCATATTTGGTCAGTAATGTTCCGATTGAAGCTTGTTTATATCTGCATCTCATGTACTGTTTGTATGGGGAATTTAACGTACAGTATTAAATATGGTTCTGTTCCTCTGAGAATGTGAATAGCTTGACCACATTTACTATAAAAATTAAAGCTGGTCTTTTGACAACAAAGGATCATACCTTTTATTTACTGCATTATAAGAGAGTCACACATGTCCTTCAAAAAAAGGCACATATTGAGGTTTTTGTAATATTCACATATATTTATATATGTGGTTTTTTTAAATAATAATATTTATTGCATTAGCAAAAAAAGCCATAGCAACTGTACAGGATAAAATAAAATATTTATATATGTGTTGGATGAATCAACCTATTGTTGAAAAATATGATCGATAGACCCAATTTTTTCACTGGTTGGCAGCAGTGTTCCCTCTAAGCTGAGTTAGTGTGAGCTAGCTCACAGTTTTTTAGCCTCCGGCTCATGCATTTTTGTCTTGGCTCAGAAAGGATGGCAAACTAATTTATGCAGTAGCCAAATCGCTCACCCACAACTTTGATGCCAGTACCTCACAAAATAGAAGTTTTGCTCACAAGACTCCACAGCTTAGAGGGAGCATTGGTTGGTAGCCCTATAAACCAAATGAAGGAGGGCTAGAAAATCAGGACTGAGGACTGAATTGATTCATAGCAAAAACATACAGACGCTTTCTAGTATCTGGTCTTCTCTGTCCCCTCTTAGAATCCTACTCAAGTCGGAACTGCTCTTCAAGTTTTCTATAATTTGGGAACCTTAAAGGACACAATTACGAATGTTGTGGATGGATATTGTGCATCCTTGGAGGAGAACATCAACAATGCCTTGGATATTAAAGTTTTGACTCAGCCTTCACAAGCAGTGGTTCGAGGTACTGTTGTTTTTTAAATAATCTGTATTAAAACGCCGCCTGGTAATATAACATAATATCTCCACAAAGGAAATATAACACAATTCTGCATGTTAGATAAACTGTTTTCTTTTGGTGTGGTGACCCTACAATCTGTGGTGTGGAAACATTGCATTAAGGTCAATGAAGTTAGCCCAATGCCAAGCCATTCTTAGCTGCAACATGTTGAGCTCCATGTTGCAGTGTTCTACTCTCTTTTATCCAGATTTCAATTTGTGGCAGCAACTGACATAAGATAGTAACTAAAACAGTATGAATCGGTGAATTATGTAATTTCTGTCCTCTGCCATGAACTCACTGGAAGACGTTAGCCTACTTCAATGATACTCATTGCTCAGGAGCTACATGTGGTTCTTCACAATGCCACTTGTGGCTGTTTTAAGCATAGTTCCTTAATGCTTCAGGAAAGTGGTCAAGGCTTTTGCTGATGGGGCTTGTTTGGCAGATGGTTTCCACCTTGAAACAGCCACTGCCATAGGAAAGTAAACTGAAAACCTCTCTGAGGTGCAGGCCTCATGCCAGGGATGGAACTAAACGTGGTTGTGGTGAAACAGTCCTGCTGTGACCTACAGGCCCTATTCCACTGTGCCCTCCAAGGCACCTGTGCTCCAGGTTTTCCCACCTGGTTTTCTTACCACCTGGAGGGGCTTTTTTCTCTTTCTGTTCATCTGCCACCGCCACCAGGCCTTTGTAGGAATTGCCCACAGAGAGGCCTGGCCTCAGTGTCTCCTGCTATCCAGCACCTGGTTACTGTGGGAACAGCTTACTGCCTTATGCGCTCCTGGAGGAATAGCCACTTGCCAACTGACTGCCACCCCCACCCCCCGCTCTCCTTTTAAATTAACATGGCCAAGACAGTGGAGGTCTATGTGGTACAAAGAACCACTACCAGCGTCAAAGTTATAAAGTATTTATTAAAAAGAAAATGTCCACTAGCATACCCTCAGCACAGCGCCGGATCCTGCAAGAGTTTGGGAAGAAAAGGGTAAAATTCAGTTCCTCTGTCCCTCTCTGTATACATGCCCTAGCAGATAAATATAAGGCAGGCTCCTTAGCTTAGAAAGTTACAGATGTTATACAGGGTTTTCGTTGCCTTGAAGCCTGTCCTTGGATGTGCGAACTAGCACATGGCAATGGCCTCCTCCCACAGCCCTCAGGTATGAGTTCTGTCTGCCTTGATGGAATCAGCACATAAGAGTTCCCAAGAGTTTTATCATCTCTCTTTCTCCTCCCACTTGCCTGGCCAGGCCAGGTCAAAGAAGTCACCAGGAATTTTTTTCCTGAAGTGTTAAGCACTTAATTCCTCCAACTCTGTTCTCTGCTAGGTATCATCTGTCTAGCTGGGGGAGGGGGAAGCTTGACCATCCTGTTGTCCCTTGCTAGACATATTAGTATTTCTAAAAGGGTGGCTGAGGTGAGGCTGGAAAGCAATTGAATTGATTTCCCTCTTCCTGCTGGTTCTCTGCCAACCGAGAGAGAGAAAAAAACTTCAAAACTCAAGGTGAAGATTTTACTCAGTTCATACCTCCAAAGAAATAGTGCATTTCTTCATAGTGGCTCTCTTGGTTGGTGGTAATTGTGAATGCGACTCTCCACATGCCATAGACTGAATAGCACTGGCCTAGGTATTTATTCTCTTAGACTTTATGTCTGGGGGTGGTGACCCCACCCCTACACTCACCTGCTTCAGAGGGACTTGCAGGCAAGTTGGAGGAGATTCTGGTAGTAGACACCACTGAAGTAGGCAGCCCAATTAGGGCTTGGGCCTCCTGGGACCTGAACAGGCCAGAAGAGCAACCTCTTAAAACCTCATGAGTGAGCAGGGCAGAGAAAAGGAATGGAGGGCTCAGCTATGGAAGACATTGGCCTAGATTCCCTTAACTCACGGTGGGCCTGTCCCTGAAGAAAGGTCATTGGTGGAGCCCAGTGTCCGCTCACAGTCCTTTGTGAGGCCAGCCAAGGCAGAGCCAGGGGGAGTGCCAGACTGCTCCTGCAAGCTGGCTGAGGGAGACAGAGAGACCCCAGGGTGAACTAGAACCCCCTCCTCTCCCTGTCTGAGGCTTAAACCCAGGTGTCAGGATTCCCAATCAATCACGCTCAACACCAGGTCTTCAGAAGATTCAGTTTATTGAGAGAGAAAGTACTTGAGACACCATGAACTCTTGTGTCGCGAATGGCGGGAGAGGTGCGGGGTGTTTGAGATATACCCCCTTCAAAAGGGACCCCCTGATACTACAAAGCCAATAAGCAGGCATTATTAAGTTAATACCCAGCCGTTAGGTTCCCAGCGGGAAGCTCGGGGAAGAAGCACCTCTAGCCTCAAGGACACCTGCAAGATAAGCACAAGCATATGAAAAGGAGTGGGGGAGGCGAGCGAGCACATCCTTTTGACTGAACATTCCAACCCATGGCAGCATTAGCTGACACCAGGCCAAGAAAAAAGGAGGAGAAAAGGGAGACACTGAGAGGTGCTACAACCCCAGATTCCAACCCACTGCTGGAGGAGTTTACAATAATTGTAGAGTCTACTCTGCAATAATAATGCTCGGATACTGTATAGGAGTCTTGTAGAGATTGTTGGTAGAATGTCTGAGAAGTCCTTTTAAAGCTTGAAACATGAGATAGTAAATGATGATATTTAGAATCAGAGATTTTAGAAAGTGCCAGTATTATTTTGAGCATCTGCTTCACTTGTTGAATGGCGCCTCTCACGTTGACTAGTATATCAGGATGCATTATAGTTCCTTAACCCCCATTTAAATCCATGTTTCTTAATCTTTGGGTATGCTCCTTGTCTTACCTTGGATAAGCAATTTATTACACTTGTCTGTTTTATTTAATATGCATATGTCCTGCTTTTTCTCCAAGTCAGAAAAGCTCAAAGTGACTTCTGTCATTAAATTTAATTTCTCAAAAATACAATAAGCATAACAAGAAGAGATCATGCCATTTATGCAGTTGTCAGAACTGACCGGTACTCCCAAGTCATTGAAAGCACGTTGGAAAAGCTCTGCCTCACAGAATCTTCAGAGTCTCTGCAAGGGGTGGCACCTTCCTCGTGTCCTGCAGAAACTAGTTCCATAAAGCATGATTGGCCACTGAGAGAGACCCAGCAGAAACAGTGCACACTAGCCTGAATGGAGGAACTGTTAATAATCTCTGGTCTAACTACTTGTATTGTACTCTCCCTCCAAGGAGCTCAGGATGGTATATATGAGAGATACTCTGTTATCCCTGGGAGATGAGCAGGGGACAGTAGGTAGTGATTTGCAGAAGACAACTCCGTGAGCTTCATGGCAGGGCAGAGATAGAACTTCACAAAAACAAGGATCTTCGGCATGGTCTCTGTGCTTCACACACATGGGATACAGTGCACCTGCGCTGGATCGATCGGTATTGTAGCAAGCTCTAACAGATTTTCGCGCCCAGACCTCAGGCATGCGCAGGAACCCCACCATGCATGCCCAGGGGGTGGGTGAGGACATCCCACCAGTTCCTTTCTTTCCGCTGCGCTGGAAGCACCTTCCTTTTGTCGGTCAGATTGGTAGCTATTTTCCTCAGAGGCTCTTCGGATTTCTCTTCAGTTTTTCTCTTAGTTTTCCACTTTTACCTTTATTTATTGTTTTCTTTAAAAAAAACTTGTTTAGTTTGAGGGGAAAGTTTTTCGTCTTACCTCAGTTTGGCCTTCAGGCCCCCCACCACCACTTTTTCTTCTCCATCTCGTTTATTTTATGAGAAGAAGTGGGGCTTTTTCAAACGTTGTAAGGGGTGCGGCAGTAAGCTCGCGCCACCTGACAGCCACACCCTTTGCATTTTTTGTCTTGGTGAGACGCACCGACCAGAGTCCTGTCGACACTGCACCAAGTTTTCAAATCAAACCAGGAAGAACCGAGTGACGCGTCTCCGGGTGGTGTTACTGGAATCGGTGCTAAATCCCGCTTCCGTCATGGATCCAGAAGTACTGGTAAGACCATCGACATCGATGGCTTCGGTATCGAAGTCTTCATCCAACATCGAAGCGTCCGGCACCAACGGCACAGTCTTCGGCGTCCACTCCCGTGAAAAAGAAGGAGAAATTGGGTAAAGAGCACAAGTCTTCCAAAAAGGGTTCCTCTAAAGCCCTAAAGGCGGCGAAGTCTGGAAAAGTCGTGGGTCCTGCACTGGGTAAAGCCCCTAAGGTGCCCCCTCTCCAACGACAGTATCGGCATCGGAGGCTCCAGTCGCTCCACTGATACCGACCATCCAGCTGATAGACTCTCCAATACACCAGCTAGACCACAACACGCTGGTCGATATGCGTCCTTTCTCCGACATCGATAATGTCGAGATCCTCAGTCGACCCCTGGGCACGGATCGCTCTCCCTCTGCTCAGTCATTGACATAGACAGTCATTGACATAGACAGTCTCGGAGTTCCATGCCGATATCGACCCAGGTTGGCATCGACAGATCCCTCCAAACACTCAACGTCATCCTCCCCATCTGTTTGCTGAGGATCGGCCTTTCGATATTGATGATCGGGCTAATAGGGGCCGCTCACAGAGATGAGATGCTACACTGTCTCCCAGACGCTCCCGCTCTAGGAGTAGATCCCCACGAGTCTTCCTGCCCCCCCCACCTCCTGCTATTTCCTGGGATCACCGCCAACTACGTTATCTCTATGGGGCTTATCCACCTGCATCCATGCCGTGGTTGACTCCAGTAGGTTACTCTGATTGGGATTGTTACTCTGCTCACAGATCACGGTCACCCCATAGATCGAGGCCCTCAGCATCTCTTTCCTGTCCTCCGGATCATCCATCTCCTTGACCGGATCAGTATCGTCCTCCCAGTCCCCCTATCCCACCGTCAACAGATCCAACCAGTCAGATCAAAACCACTCCGGTACAATTACCAGAGGCCGATTCCTTTGACTCTGCGGATGAGGATTCTGACCAGCCTTCTCCGAACCAGGCAGTAGCTGATGACCAACCTATACTCCATCTGAAAACTTAACTTCCTACGGAGACCTCATGAAAAGAATGGCCCACTCCCTTGGCCTTTCAGTCGTACAACCAGAACCACAGATTACAGATGCCGTTTTTAATGTGGTACAACTAGATACATCGACGGCTATAGCACTACCCATGTCCACGGTCCTGTTACAGGCAGCTAAAGCTCCATGGGATAAACATTCATTGGCTCCAGTGTCCACATGTCGCATGGACCATATGTATAGAGTACAAGAAACAGGAGTGGAATTCTTATTCACCCATCCTCAACCAAATTCAATGGTTGTTACTTCCTCATCCAAGTCAAAGAGAACCCATTCTGCCCTTTCAGACAGGGAGAGCAGAAAGCTAGATGCATTTGGACAACGTTTCTACTCTACTGGAGCGCTAGCGGTGAAGACCACCTATTACTTAGCATGTATGAGTAGATACCAATACACTTTGTGGGAGAGGCTCTCCGAGCTCTTGGCAAACCTTCCAGAAGATAAGCGTTCGTTAGAGCTTGCTACAATACCAATTGATCCAGCGCAGGCACACTGTATCCCATGGATGTGAATGCACAGATGACCACTCGAAGATCACCAGTTACAGGTAAGCAACCTGTTTTTCTGTTGCTGCTTTGTACCTACCTATAGGAGCACTGGCTCTTGTATATCTGCATCTTATGTCTAAAGTGACCTTATGTCTAGTGATTCTAGGTGTTGCTGCTTAACATGATTTTGTTTGTGTGTTCAGCTTTTATGCAAATTGTTCTTTAAAACCCTTTAGGTGGCCCTGGGCGAGCAGCTATGCCAACACCAGGAAACACGGCAGCCTTTAGAGCAGCTCTGTGGACAAACATGGAAAAATTAATGGATCAGATCTGTTCAGCTTGTGGACAGGTATTTGGTTATTTAAACATCTGTTTCCATTACAGTCTAGTTTTTGAAAAATAAATCAAGTTTCAAACATCTGTTCATTTTTCAGGTACAGCACCTGCAGAAGGTATTGTCCAAGAAAAGAGATCCTGTGACACACGTGTGTTTCATTGATGAACTAGCAAAGGTAATCCTCCATCCCTCTCCTTCTAGATAAGTCAGGTCTTGCCAAAGCAGTTTAGTAGCTTTAATTTCATTTGTTTACTTCATTTACACTTTGTTTTTCTTCCCAATGAGGACCCAAAGGGGCTTACATAATTTCTGTCTCCCCCATTTTATTTTCGCAACAACCCTGAGAGTGAGTGTGGCTGAGAAAAAGGAACTGGCCCAAGGTCACCCAGCAAGCTTTCATGGCAGGATGGAGATCTGAACCTGGGTCTCCTAGATCCTAGCCCAATATTCTAGCTGGGAGTGCACCATTTAAAATTCAAGAGTAATATATAATTTAGTGAAATATTGGTAAGAAACTGTCTTGGAAAGAGGGGAAAACTGGCGTAGCACAATTCATTGATAGGTACAGTTTTGTTTTCCTGCAGCCACATTTTAAATCAGGCCTCAGTCTTTAGTGGCTTGAACCGAAAGTAGAACAGGGCCTTTTCTGCTATGGAGGGACTGGGGCTCAGGGGTAGAACATCTGCTTTGCATGCAGAAGGTCCCGTGTTCAATCCCTGGCATCTCCAGGCAAACGGATTAGATTAATAGGTGCCCATCATCGTGGTACCTGTGCAGTCCCACATGAGTTACTATGCAGGCGTGCCACAGAGATATTTTGAAGCTCAAGAGTTCTGTAGGGTGCTCCTTCCCCCTCCTCCACAATGCTTTCCTGCCTTTCCAGTGTAAAAGCAGGGGGCCGAGCACTCTTCCATCAGTTCTGTCTCTGCCACTTTGTAGAAAGGTTCTTCCCTTCGAAGCTCTGTGTGAGGAAATTTGCAGCGTTTGGGTCTTCTGCTTTCGGCACACCCAATTTCCCTCTAGAGTTTTGGAGCTTCGAAATCTCTCCACAGTACACCTGCATGTGCTCCGGAACCCACATGTTACGCGCAGGTGACCACTCAATGAACTAGGAATGTGCTTTCGGTTCGGACAAATGGAAACCCCCCCTGAATAATGCTTATTTGGCCGGCCCGCCAAAAGTCGAATCAGATTCTCTAATCTGATTTGGCTGGCCGAATGGGGATTCCCCGAATGGATGCCATATATTTGGCATCCATTCGGGGAATCCCTTTGCTGGGTGAGGGGAAGGCAGGGGGAGGCATTTAAATGCCTCCCGCTCCTTGCAGGGCCTTCCACGGCCTACCCACTTGGGCAGGCAGGCCGGGGAAGGCACAGAGAGGCATTTCAGTGCCTCTTCGCACCTTACTGGGCCTTCCCCGGCTCGCCCGCTTTTGCAGGCGGGCTGGGGAAGGCACAGGGAGGCTACCTTGGGGGGCAGCGGGCTCCCTTCACTGAAGGGAAGGCAAATTGCCTTCCCTTCAATGAAGGCAGTGTGCTGGCTATGCGCCATGACTTGGGGGGGGGGATTTAAACTTTAAAACTCGAGTCATGCCGCAGAGGTGGCACGCTCCCTTCAGTGATAGGGAACCTTCCCTTCAAGGGGGGGATTATTATACCCTATGGGGACAGTCCCCATAGGGTATAATTGAGCTGAATATGGTTCGACCAGCGGAATGCCACCCCAATCAGCTTGCATTGCCAAAAGTGGTATTCGGAGGTCAGTCGGATGGCCGGATCACATTTGGCCCAATTCGGCCAAATCCAAATGGGCCAATTTTTTTTTTTTTTTTTTGCACATCCGTACAATGAACAACAGTTACAGGTAAGTGTAACCCTGTTACCCCAAAGAGCCTTTTGCCAGTCACTGCAGACAATACTGACCTTGATTAGACCAATGATCTGACTCAGTATAAGACAGGTTCATGTTTTCATTTTTTGTATCACAAAAAAGGGATAAGCCTCAAAAAGGTGTTAGGAGTTATTCGTTGAAGTGCTCCAAATTGCTGTGCCTTACTAAGGAAAACCATTTTGAGGTTTGCATATTGGTTTCGCAAGCCCGTTCTCTGGGTTTTCCTCTCTTCTTTCCCTGTGTTCCAAGAAACCCGTCCTGAAGGGGTTTTCCAGAGCAACTTTCTGGGTAATGTGAAGGGCTGTCAGTGGTGGTGATGGGGTTGGATCACTGATTTCCCCCATCCCTGTACATGCACAGAAGAGAATTCCACTTATGCTTGATTATTTGGGGTCCAAGCTGTTGGCATGGCTGCTCTTTGTTTTACTTGATAGAATCCAGAAGATAACATTATGTCCTTTTATTAATTATCACTGTTGCCATTCCCTGTAATACTGTGTGGACTGACTAATTAATATTTTGCGCTAGTAAGAGAAAGTGTCTTTGTATGGTATGTAGTATGATCTAGCCATCTGCTTCTCTCCTTTTGGCAGTTTCCTCTCTGAAAAACAATCATGGCTGTTCTTTGCTACAAGGAACTCCAATGTGACTACTTATTCTTATCCACTAATTTGTATTGTTTTATGTTCTCATTTAGAAGAAATTGATTATTGGTTTCCCCAAAAGCTGAGAACAGTACTGCCAAAGCTATTTATCTCTCATAATGTATGAGGGGATAATCCTCTTTCCCACTCATGTTCAAGTTCTGGTTTTATGCACCGGGCGGGCAGGTAGAGGAAACCTTTCCAGTTCTGTGTGGCTAGATTAATTCTCACATCTTCTACTTTTTAAATGCGGAGGAGAAACCATGTATGCAAATTCTTTGCAGTGCTAAAATTAAACAGTGACTGCATGACACAGAGCTTGTTTCTCTTGGCAGATTTCGCTGACAAAAGCAGAAATAAGTTTTTGGGGTTTTTTAGAAAGCAGATCTACTTTGTTTGGGCAGCTTGTACATGAAGCATCTTTGTCTTTTCGTTGTTGTTTTTGGAGATGATGTTGCTTATAGCCAACTCCATACCAAGAATCTGTTTGAATAAAAACATCTCTCTGCTTCTAGGCTTGGTTCAGGTTTGGTCTTTAGTGAGTCTTCAGAGGAAGAGAATTCCAAAGCTATGAGGTACAGGGATTCTTGGTGTCTGCCCCATAGCTTTGGAATTCTCTTCCTCTGAAGACTCACCAAAGACCAAACCTAAACATCTCCTGGAAGCAGAGTAAGCTGGTGAACATCTCAACTGATCTTAAAGGTTTAACGCAATCAGGGACATAGCCAGCAGTGGGGCATTGGGGCTGGACGCTGGTGTCCCCCATCGCATTTGCAATGCCCTCACCCCAGTCTTCCCAAAGTGAGTGGATGTGCAGCTAAGTGGCCTGGGGCACTGCTTGGGTGCTTTGGGTTTTCTGGGAGCATCTGGGAGCACAGGAGGGGGTTAAAAGGAAGCCTCAGCTTCAGCGCGTCTTGGAATTCTTTCTGGAAGCCCAGAAGGTACTTAAAAGTCTGTGTGGCTTCCGTGGCTGCTGGGAAGTTGGAGGCCAGATGCAGTTGAATGAGACAGTGGTGGTGGAGCATCGACTGCCCTGGCTTGCTCTCTCCAGGCTGCCCTGGCTCGAGGAAGGGAGTGCAGCCGGGCAGCTGCTGCCGCCCACCCAGGGGTGCTGCAGGGCAGACCAGGGCTTGGGGAGGGCCTCACTGGCCAGTTTGGTGTAGTAGTTAAGTGCGCGGACTCTAATCTTGGAGAACCGGGTTTGATTCCCCACTCCTCCACTTGCAGCTGGATGATGACTTTGGGCCAGCCATAGTTCTGACAAGAACTGTCCTTGAAAGAGCAGTTCTTGAAAGAGCTCTCTCAACCTCCCAACTACCTCACAGGGTGTCTGTTGTGGGGGGGAGAGGGAAAGGAGTTTGTAAGCTGCTCTGAGCAAAGGGCGGGGGTGTAAATCCAATCTCCTCCTCTCTTCTTCTTCATCTTCTTCAAGGCCCCCATCTTCCCCTTGCCACGTTGCTCTCCCTCTCCTCCTGGTGGCGCACCTCATCCGGCATCATACCCTCCCTCCTCCTTTTAAAAAAGCGCGAAATAGGCAGCATTTCCACCAGTAGGTGAAGGGACCAAACGGGAGCAGAAGTCCCACTAGGTAAGCAGTGAGGGCGGAGAAAGAAAGAGAAGTGGGTTTGGAATGTGGCATATGTGTGCGCGTTTCATTGGGAAGGGTCATCCCTTTTTGCTGCTGCAGCTTTCTCCTCCTCCTCCTCCTCTTCCTCCTCCTCTAGTTTCTCCCCCCCCCCCTTTCCGGTTTGGCCCCAGGAGCCAACTTTTGTTTGGGTGTTCATTAAAATGGGAGAACAAGAGCAATTGAGTCTACTGCCTGGAGTTGTAAATAAGTGGATAACCTTAGTACAGAATCTTAGAAATTCTACTATTAATTAAAAAGTAGAAGCCATTTCATGTACTATCAAAGTTAGAGCTGATATAGTAAAATGTCTGGGGCAAGAGGCTGGATTTCTGTATATCCACATTACTAAGCTGAGTGAACAACAAAGCACTCCCAAATTTGCATATGTTAAAAAGGCAGTGTGCCCACTCTTGCAGGAAATGGGATTGTGAACCCTGCATTTTACATTCTGCTTGCTAATTACGGTTAGTGAGGTCACCATTATCATTGCATTCATCTTCCTCAACAGCTGCAGTTTCACTTTGGATGTCCATCTGTATCCTTGGTGACACTGCAGTGCAAGTCCTATCCTTGACAGCAGTATGGAGATGTGACCCAGCCATGCAAAGCACAAGTCCTTTAAAAATAAGGGAACACTTGGATCTTTTTAAAACAACAACAACACCACCCCAACTTCTTTCAGCTTCACCTCTTCCTTATATCTGGTCCTCCATCATCCTTTTCTTTCAAGGCTGCATGTCATGTTTGCCCTTATTCTTGCCTCCCTCTATATTCTTTCCTCTCTGTTGATCACTTGTGTCAAAACTATCCATCAGTCCATCTCCTAGTATCTAAAAGTTTCAGAGCATTTTTCAAACAATGAATAAAGCTCACAGTGATCCTCTGCCAAGATCCAAAGAGCTACTAGACCCATTTTCAGTTTGGTTTCAGATCAGGTTTTAGAACAGAAAATCTTCTTCGTGGTCTCTGTGCATCATACCCTGGGATATAGTACGCCTGCGCCGACCCCGATC